ACTTACCCCTTTCCTAAGCCAACATTTTGCTCCAAGTGAGAAGTAAGTGTTAATGTTGACTTTGGATGAGAAGCAAGTGTTAATATTGACTTTGGGGAGGGGTAGTTGGGCATTTTCCTAGAAACGTATAATGATCTCAAAGTCTTTTTACATCAGTAAAAGGTTCAAGTCTCCCAGTATTGGTTTGGAGCACCAACATGGCCGCCATTTCATCGTCTTGGACACCATTATGGCGGAAGTGACGCCATGAAAAACACTCCTTTTTATAGGGAATACTTTCTATAACCGCCTACCTTTTTCACGCTTGGCGTATATAAAAGGGTAGGGATTTCGTAAGTTGAAGTCTAGTAATGAAACTGGTAAGCAAATTTGTCATTTATGTTCAGTGACATTTATTAGGCGTAAACTTAATTGTCAAGTGATAACTGTAATAAGCCACCAAGCTGTATCAACCTGTTGGAAGTGAAACTTTTGGAAGTTATGACAAATGTTTCACAACAGGCTTCCGTTCCCACCAATAGACTTTCAGGAATAATTTTGTTGTACTCTGTAATTTGACTCGTTGACTTATGTATCGTTTTGCTAGCCTAAGGCTTAAATATGAGCGTTTTGCAAAAGTTTCTTCGGTTGCATCTTGGATTAAGTTTTGACTGTATTTAAGAAGTTATGACAGGTATCCTTCCATAAACTCACCAACATTTGTGGTGGGTGACAATAATTTTGCTGTTACGAAAGAGAAATCAAAGGATTACTACAACCTACTCATCAGAGAAAAAGCTAAACCGCTCAATATTATTCAAAAATTACAGAGTAACTTTAATTTTAACAGCGACAATCTGAAGCAAATATTTAAGCTGCCACACTCTATCGCTGTCGAATCGTATGTTAAAGCCTTCCAGTACAAAGTAATTAACTCAATTCTTTACACAAATACAAAGTTGTATAAAATAGGTTATAGGACAAATGATTTATGTACTTTCTGTGACAATCAACCTGAATCATTAACGCATTTGTTCTATCACTGCTCACGCTCTAAACAGTTTTGGATTGAATTTGAACTATATTGGTGCCTTATTTCGAATCAACGAATTCGTCTCTGCTTGGAAAATGTGCTCTTTGGAATTTTGACGGAAAATGCTTGCCCTTTACTTCAATTGCTGAACTATTTTATAATTATTGGAAAACTCTATTTGTGGGACTGCAGGAGCAAACAAATCCTTCCAAACATTTGTGGATTTAAAGCCAAGATCATCGCTAAATATGAAACAGAAGAAAAAATCAGCAACAAAGAATTCTTTAAAAGAAAGTGGATACTGACGCCTTATTTAAGTTAACTGTATTACCTCCGTATTATTTCATTGCCCTGTTGTACTTTTTTTACAATTTCTTTTAGCCCTGTAATACCTCCTGTAATAATTTGACAATTTTTTTTTTGTGTGTGTTTTGAAAATGTAATTATTTAATGTGATTATCAAAAAACATATTAAAAAAAAAAAAAAAAAAAAAAAAAAAAAGTTTTGACTGTATTTCACAGTATAGTCTTGGAATCCATCTCTACATTGGAGCCAAGTTTCTATGAGAAATTATTAGGGAACCTAAGCAACGAGGAAGGCGACGGGAACAAGAACGGCAAAAGGCAATAGGTTAAAACCTGGGCCAAACGTCCACCTTTTCACGAGACGAACCAAACTAAGTTCATGAAAAGTTCGACGTCTGGCTCAGTCAAGGTGGCTCGATAAGGTTTTTCACGGTCAATACCTCACAAGTTTCATCATTAACTTAAAAAAACAAAAACAAAACAAAAACAAATAGCGAGTTGTAGCCCTTATTTGTAGTTCAAACTCCAAGGACATAGGAAACGACTGTTAATCTCAAGAATCTTAAATTTTTACAAAAATCTATCCCACCGTTTTCAAATTATTCTCTTATCTGTTGAAGTAGACCAAAGTGTTTATAAAACCGCTGACAAGTGCGCATCGATACATACTAATCAAATTCTTCTTTTTCTAGCAATCGGCTAAAGCTATCACCATGATCCTTCACACACGTTTTTTAAAAGATCCAAACTACTATGAGGTAGTTGCTTTTTGGTCCAATTTAGTTGATTGGTTCGTAGCGCCTAATTTAGGTCGACCCAAATTAGAGTTTGGTTCGTCTGATGAAAAGTTCGACGTATGGCCTAGGCCTAAGATTGGCAAAACAACAACCTTGCACATACATCACACTTTTTATACATTTCTTTGACGTCCACTTCATCACTACCACGTGTAAGTGTCTACTTTCACGTTTTGTGGAGGACGTGAACACAAGACAACGACTTTGTTTTTCTTTCCTGAACTTTGATACAGGCCTTTAGAATTGACCAACTCCAGAAAAATGAGCCATCATTTGACGAATTGAACGAGATGGAATAACCGCGATGAAGGCGTAACCCACCGGCCAAGTTATTCAGTACGACGTGTGAAACCAAAAGTTGACAAAAGACTTGAGTAGTCGCAGCTCTACGTTGGTAACAAATGTTTGGCCCTCATTTTCAATCTGAAAAGAGAGAAGGATATAGCGGCAGGTGTTATAATAGACATTCGTTTAGACCCTGTTTACAGGGAGTAAACGTGTCTCGGGAGGAAGGGTCACTCGCGTACCCTTTACTACCCTGGACGAGCCAACGTTTTATCGAGATTTACTTGACAAAACTTGGCGCGCACCGTTTACATGACAAACAAAAAGTTTTCTCGACCAGAAGGGTGACCTGGGGTACTTACCATTTGCATGGAAAAACCGGATATTCCGGTTGGAAAATCAAATGGTTCGCGCCATTCCGTTTTACCCTGGGTACCAGAGGCTTTTATCGCGTGCGGCGCGAATTTTCGGTGTTGGCCAAAGGTCGACACATCTTCGGCTGTAGGCCGAAGCCACGAGCGGCAGGTCGCTAGAAAGACTTGACAGAAACCGGAAACCGCGCTAGACAAGTCTCTGGCACCCAGGGTACATCCGTTTGGGACGCTTCAGAAAACATGGGCTGTAATTTGAGGGGATGGCATTTTTGGATCATTTTTCTTCTCTTTTTAGTCTGTTAAGCCGATTTTGATATACTTTGTAGAGGGTCGTTCTCCTACCACGCCAAATTTTATAGTTTTATGCACAAGATTTCCACCCCAGTGGACTCAGCCAGATGGACTGAATGTTAGACAGAACCTTTGAAAGGTCATTCAACGTTTCTGTTCTGAAGGTTTTCACTGTTAAGATAATGGGGATTCAGTCATAGCCAGTGCACAGATAAACAGCGTCCGTAAAGCGGGATAGACGTAGACTACGATTAATCTCCCTTTTTTCTCAGGAATAGTAGAGCGAGGTAAACGCTAGTGCGCATGAAAATCATGCGCGTTAGCACTTCGCTCGCTCTACTATCCCTGAGGGAAAAATGGGAACTACTCGTAGTCTAGGGTTGACGATATATGGGAATTTGTGACACTTGAGACACTTGGGTTAATTTGAGAGAAAATATATGAGCTTTTTGTCGGGACAAAAGAAACTGTACGTAATAGACGGGTGTCCGTATGAAGAGGGTGTCGTTAGAGCTGGGTTCCCCTGTACCCTAAGAGTGATCAGCATCAAATTTCTCCTTGTAACATCAATGCTTTGTAAAACAGAGTGGTCATGAGAATTACGGACATGATCACACAAGATGAATTTGCTTGAAATTTTATCAACTTCTCCCCACTACTTCCGTAGGAAATGAATAAGGCCAAAAAATGAGAATTCAAATTTTGATCTAAGAGTGTAAAGGGTTAAAAATTGAACTGGGACGGGATAAAAAGCTGTGGCCATTGCGTTGCTGGTGCGTTGTTCGCCAACCAATAAGCGATTCAAAAAGCCTTGCAGTTCGGGAGCAGTCACCTAGTCGCTGTTTTTGTAATTCAAGCGGAATTTTGAAAAGTTATAACTCACCTTCAGAAGGTCAATTCTTATGATCCCATGTTCGTCGCTGTATTCAATAAACAGTTTTTCGCCTTCTGAAGAAAAATCGCCTACGAACAAAGCATTTTTAAAAGGACGTATTCATTAAACGGAGTGAGAAGCTATTTCCAGTGCCTTACGATGGAGAAAGCTTACTGAAGGTAACGAATAAAACCGGAGCAATACGATTGTATTTAAAGGAACTTTGCACGTTTCGGATGTAGCTTCTTTCGAAAAGTAAAACGTTCATAAAAATATCAATTTGCCTGATCAAAGAGAACTTTCTGCCCAAACTCTGAGATGGCAAGCAATGACCAGTATGAAAAGCGCGCTGTGTTACAGAGAAACATCAATATAATTTCCACGTCTAATCTCATGGTAAAAAATCCGACTTCCTTTATTAGGATGTGAACAGCAAAAATCAAAAAACCCATCGTTTGAGAACATGACTTTAACTCTGTACAAATATGTGTAATATTTTATTCTAATCTCACAGATCATCCTTCTCAAGAAAGTCGGTCCACTGACTTTACAAATGACCTAGTTACTTACCATCATGAGATTTGTTACTGAATACCCTCACCGGAACACTGAAAAGAAGCAAAACAAGAAAGGGGATATTGAGCGGGTTTCAAAATTTATTACTAGTAATAATTCATAAACTAGAAAATACCGGGTTAAATTGTGAGGCACAGTTCCTTTAATTTTGCGTTTCTAGGCAACGATCGTGGGTCATCATTATGAGAACCGAGTAGAAATCCAGTAAACAAAAGAAACATGTACAATATATCCGTATGGGATTAATTTAGGATTCTGAGAAACTGCCCACCTATCCCTGCCCTAAGCTAACATTCTGCCTTAAGTGAGAAGTAAGTGATAATGTTGACTTAGGGGAGGGGTAGGTGAGCAGTTTCCTACAAACCCACATTGATCCAATTTATGTACACGGCGATAAACAAGAGAACTATACTGACAGCGTACCTCATCCACCAGAAAGGGACTTTTCCTTCGTGTAAAACGGTCACATCTAAGAAACATATATC